GTCTGGGGATGGGGGGTGCAGGGGGCGGGGCCTTAGGATGGGGATCTGGAGGCGGCTCAAGCTGTGGGGGTCCGAGATATGGGGTTCAGGGAGACGGAGGTTCAGATGCGGGGATCAAAGGGAGGATGCTAGTGAGATGGGCGTCCAAAATGGGGGTGCAGGCATGGGGGTCTAGAAAGACTGGGGTGTAGAGATGGGGTCCGGAGAGATGAGGGTGGGTGAGATGGGGAGACCAGAGAGATAGGGGTGCAGAAGTGGGGTACAAAGAGATGGGGTGCAGAAGTGGGGTGCTGAGATATGGGGTAGAGAAGTCGGGTGCAGAAAGTTGGGGTGCAGAGATGGAGGGCAGAAGGATGAGGGACACAGAACGGATCAGAGTGATGACATCTCGAGAGCGGGGCCCCGAGAGACAAGTGTCAGAGAGCTGGAGGTCCCCTAGGAAGGACTCTAAGAACGGTGTTCCAAGACCGGGAGGTTTGAGAGGTTGGGGGTCTGACGAACGGCGGTCTGAGAGATGGGGCTCAGACGTGGGGTGTTTGGGAGGCTGGGGTTCAGGAATGGGACGTCGGATGATGCAGGTTCTGACAGCTCCACCTTTGTGACGGCGGCAAGTGACCAGAGGAAATGCAGGGAAGAGGGGGCTGAGGATTGAGGTGGGGCGTCCTGCGCAGCGCTGGAGCTGAGGGCGCTCCCTCCACCCTGCACAGCGCTCCCAAGGATGACGGGGAGACCAGGAGCGAGCCTGGGGAAAGTTTGGGGGTTCCCAGGGCACAGGGCAGAGCGCACTGGGAGGGCGTCACTTACCGCGATGACTTCTAGCCGCTGCCGGTAGAGGGAGCTCTCCGCCATGGGCCTGTGGGGAGAGGGCAGGGACTGCGGAGGGGGGTCTGGGGGGGCCCCCAACCTTCAGCAGACCTTCCTCTTTTTTTTTTTTGGTAGAGGCAGGGTCTCACTATGTTGCCTAGGCTGGTCTCGAACTCCTGGCCTCAAGAGATCCTCCCGCCTTGGCCTCACGGAAAGTGCTGGGCTTAAGGGCATGAACCACCGCACGGGGCCGAGGCGACCTCTTGAATTTGAGCTGCTTAGAAACCGCCCCGAGCCCAGTGCTTTGCCTCTATATTCCCTTTGCAGCTGGGAGGAGTCTGGGCACAGGGCTGCGAACAGAGACCATGATTGGTTGAGCCTAAGATCTTGTTAGGTCTGACATTGCCTCTCTCAGCCTCAGTTTCCTCATCTGTAAAGTGGGTAGGGATAGCTTGACACGCCTCTCCCACCTCAGAGGACCCTTGCAAGGAAGTACTCATACAGGGAAAAGCTTAGGACATAGTGCTCCAAAAACAGTACCATAATTTATTACTAATATTAATTATGATTTAAATAATTCCCAGATCAATCATACCTCATGCCTGTTACTGGTGCTAAGCTATGATCTCAAAGACCCTCCCGACAGCCTTTCCAGGGAGGCACTGTCGTTATTCCCATTTTAGAGATGGGGAAACTGAGGCTTGGGAAGGGAAATCAACTTGCCCAAGACCACAGAGCAAAGTAACAGCAGAAGGTAAATTCGAATGCAGACCTAGTGGCCGAGATGCACTTGCAGAGAACAGCACTTCTGATCAATATCCTGCTTTGGGGCCCGCTGGCCACGCCCCCATCCTATGCCCCTGGCCCCTCACCTGTCTGCGCCAGCTGGGCCTGCCGGGGGGCTTGTGCTGGGCACCTGTGGACGCGCTTTGCAACAGCTGCAGTTGGGACTGGAGTCTGGGGAAGAGAGGAGGCTGCTAGGAGCCAGGGCCCCCAGGCTCAGTGGGACCCAGGCTCAATTTGCCACCTCCCCTGAGGACACCCAGGGCCCTTCTAGCCGGACTGGGGCAGGCCTAGCAGGGCTCTACTCACGTGAACAAGCTGTCTTGTAGATTCTGGATTCGGGCCTGAGCCTGGCCCTCTGGCGACTGGGGGTCCTTTGAGGTGGGGTCCTCGGGCCCTTCTGGCCCTTCTGCTGCCCCGTCCATTAGCCAACGCTCCCGGAGAGACTTCCTCTGGGCATGGGAAGGGAGCTGGGGCTGGGCATGCGGAAGTCCCCGCGGGACCCCGCAACCACCCAGATGGGACATACATCAGTCTGCGATGCATGCCCACAGTGCCCCCCAACGTTGCCAGGTGGGACAGCCGCCCCGCTGCCAGCCCGTAGTCTCCCCCAGGCTGGAACACACACCCTGGCTGGGGCAGACAGCCCCTTGCCCACACAACCCTTCCAGAATGGAACAGACACTCCCAAAGGTGAAATCAATTGTCCCTCCCTTGTGGCCCCTCCCTACTCCAAAGCTGGACTAAGGCCGCTGCCATCTCCCCCACGTTGGGACAAACACCTCCACTGTCCCACACTCTTCCCAAGGTGGAGCAAATGTCCCCATTACCACCCCACTTCATCCCCTCCCAAGCTGGGCAAGACACCCCCCCACCCCAAAGCTGGGACCGACGCCCCCAGTTGCCCCGCTCACATCGGACGGAGGCTCCTCTCATCCCCCAAGGCGACTCGCACACACACCCCCACTTCATTCATTCCCCAGGCCGGCCGGGCGCCCCCGCCCCCAACCTTGAGCCGCTCCACGCGGAGCTTCTCGTCCTCCAGCTCCCGGCGCGCCGCGCGGATCTGCTCCTGCAGCCGCCGCTTCTCCTGCGCACAGAGGACCGGAGCTGCCGCCGGCTGGGCGCGGCCTCCTCCGCCCTCCTCCCT